TTTTACATACAAATTATTCATTATACAGTGGACAAAAAAAAGGCAATTGCCTGAGGCCTCCATCAACAGGAAGTCTCGAATCAATCCATTATAAACTCATTATTGTAGTAAAGTTATCGAAATTTAAATTTGGGCCATATTTGATGTGCCTAGATTGCCTGTTAGGGGCAGCGCAGAATTTAACCTGCTAGAGGTCGGATACAGGGAGATTCCCCCAAAAATTCCTCGAAAAAAATGTTTGAAATCGATACTGTTACACGAGGCCCCCTAATTCAAATTTGCCAAGGCCCCATGAAACTATAACGCCGTCATTATTTCTTTACAATTTAACAAACAATTTAGTGTCAACACTGAAGTTATCAAAATATTGTCAAAGCATAATACTGTTGTTGTTATTTTTGCATGTATTTATATTTAAGAACAGGAAATACAGGTAGATTTTATATGTATATTGACTTTTATAAAAGTTTTATAATATTGAAGTATTTACATAACAAAACAATAAACAATAATTTACACACTATTACATGATAATTAATTATTATTCGTTTAAGTTCTAGATTCGAATCAGCGCAGCTGAGGAATGCTGAATAAATAAATAAATAAATAAATAAATAATAAATATCCTTAGGTCAACCACGTGCCAGAACAAATTAAATAGTATTAGGGTGACTTTTTATGCAAAAAGATCCTTAAAAAGTTTAAGATTATTTCGTGTTTATTTCTTAATTTAAATCAAGATGTAATTTACTTTTTATATGATTATTTAACCATGAATATAGTCATATAAAAAATAAAGTTTTGTGTAGTTATCAGAGATGACGTAAAACTTTTATTGGCACATCTATGATGCCCTTGAATAATAGAAAATTAAATATTATTTACGTTAAGTTAGGGAATAAACATCTACACTAATACCAGGAAAATTACTCTGAATAAATTGCTTTTATTTGTTCGAATTGATAGCTTAGTTCATTATTAAAATGGTCTTACCCTAAACATGTCATTTGTTTTTGTAAATTAGTAATTGAATTTTTAATGTAATGAAAAGTATTTAAATTTACTTATTCAATTTTCTCATTTTCTTTGCTAAATTTTAAATTGATAAATTTATAGATTTAATAATATTCGTGTACTTTTCCTCGATGAATTCAACTTTTTTAAATTACAGTGTGTATTCAAGTGAATGTTTTGGTGTCAGATTCGTACGCAATTTGCAAGTAAATTACTTTAAAAGCTAAGTTTTATGACCTAAAATTATGTTTTATACATATTTTATGTAAATAAGAATCATTATTTCGAGCCTTTTTTCTATTTTTGCTATTCTTTCTCTCTCTCTCTCTGTGTATAACAATCAAATATCCTTATGTAAAACAGATTTAGTAGTATTGTTCATTACGTTTGAGTGCTCTAATACTATTTCAAATGTTATTTTTCCACTTAAATGTTATTATATTTTGAAATAAGAATCAAATAGAGCAATTAATCATTGTCAAAAAATGTTTATAAAATTATTTATCTTATAAAAGTCAAATATTTAAGTCACGTTTACAAATCAGCTAATTAAACTGTAAAATAAAGCACGATTTTTATTTTCTACATTATTAAATTAAATAAGACAGAATAATTTACATGCGTAAAAAGAACTATTCTATCGTATAAAAAGAAAAAATAATAAGATATAATTTTCTAATATTTTATATGAAAATTAATTCATTTATTTTTATTTAAAATATTGAGGTCATTTATTAAGTAAGTAGGCTATTCTCCAGGAAAATAGCATTTCTAATGTTGAAGATCTGTTTCTGAAATGATATTATTATAGAAATAATTAAATATTAAATTAAAATTAAACAAAATTAAATACTTTAGATTATGTTTATTGATTGTTTTCGTATAATGAATAGCTACATCGTCTTTTAAATCTCTTACTTTCGTTGTTTTGTATATTCCTAGCATCCAACTTCTAAGTCTATCTTCTCTTTTTGTCTCTTAGGAGGAACTCATCTAACTTGTTACATTCATTCCATGTAGCCGTATACTATATAAATTGTTTCTTTTCTATTTTATCGGTTATTATTCTGTCAATCCCATCATCTGTCATTTCTAATGTTCTATAACCTTGACTTCCTACAACTGCTCCTTAAGAAATCTATCTTTAATGCTAATAGTTTTCTTTTCTTACTCTTTTCAAATGACTGTTTCATACGTTACCATACTTATACACCAATACAGAGTATAATATTACTTTTTATTAGCCTTTAAGATGATTCTACTCTATAAAATTTAATTGAAACTTTCTATTATCTTANAATAGAAATAGTAAAAATTACTTTTAAAATGAATAATTATACACTTAAAACATTAACAATTTAACAATAATAACAATAAGCGTGTTCCTTATATCAATCTTGTGTTTCATTGACCTCACGGGGTCATTCTTAAATTACTTGACTGCTTCATAAAGAAGAGGCCCTGTAAGTATGGTTAGTTTCTTCCATATTTCTCTTCTACTAACTATAAGTTCTTCAAAACAAGTTTATTAATATATATATATATATATCGAACAAATATTGCTTACATCAAAATCAAGAAAGTTCTGTTTAAGACTGTTGAAAAATAAATGTCTTATATAAATAACTTTGACCTAAATTTATTAACTTCCTGTGATGTTGGCCACCCCACCTGTTTGACCAATTCAAAAACGATGTCAATTGATTGTTGTTCGTTTGTAACATTGATTTTTTATCAATTAAAAGTTACATCACTCACTAATTACCTGTTTACTGGAACCATTTTTTAAATACGGTTTCTTTACGAATTCTAAAATAATGCTATAGAAAGTTGTTACCCTTGAACCAATGCCAGTCTGTGATTAACATATTGTTACTCCTCACAGACTGACATACGTTCAAGGATTTATTGTCAGTTTGCAAAAGCTTCCATGAGAAAAAAAAATACGAAACCATTTAATACTTTAGAAAGTTTTCATATTTTTAAATGTTTCCAGCATCTTAAGCTATCAAAGAACACAATACATTTGAATCTCAGAATTGAGCGACGTAGATTAGATTTTTTTCTTTTAATTATTAATAATCAAGCAGAGTTTTACAATTTATTGACAATCCACGTTAAATATGTCGTATTTCCTCGTTTATGAAAAAACTCTGGGACTTCAAATAAACACGGAAGATACGCACGTTTTTTAAATAAACCCTTTTAAATACTATAAAAATCTCTAATTGAATGGCATTAATTACGTTGGTATATTCAGAGAAAATGTGTAGAATTAAAATGATTCAATGTCCTTTTCTTACTATATTATAAATTTTCGTCTATAAACAAGCATTCACTATTATCAGGACTTATTATACTGGCTTAACAGACAATACAGCGTTTCACAGAAAACAATTTTTATTTAATATTTAATATACCTGACAGGTATATCAGGACTTATTATACTGGCTTAACAGACAATACAGCGTTTCACAGAAAACAATTTTTATTTAATATTTAATATACCTGACAGGTATATCAGGACTTATTATACTGGCTTAACAGACAATACAGTGTTTCACAAAAAACAATTTTTATTTAATATACCTGACAGGTATATTAAATAAAAATTGTTTTCTGTGAAACACTGTATTGTCTGTTAAGCCAGTATAATAAGTCCTGATAATAGTGAATGCTTGTTTATAGACGAAAATTTATAATTTAAAATGTGTAGAAACCTGCTCTAGCAGAATCTTCTCAGGATTGTTCCAAGAAATCTTAACTTTAGTGTCATATGTCCATTGTGTCAAAGCAGCGTAGTTACTATTATCCATACTAATTGACTGTATTTCAGCTTGGTATTTCCAAATAGTAAAGCTGAGTTTTGTCGAATTCTATAGTAAACAGTATGTATTTTCAGTTTTTAAAAATAGTTTATATCTAAATAACCAATTATTCTTAAGTAAAATCTATTCTAACTTTAGTTGGATGCCTGTATATTATTTGACTCGATATCCTCTAAAAAGTCATTAAAACACTCAGATTAATTTGATTGAAAATGTTATAACCTGTCCAACTAATTTCAAAACTATTCATTTCTAAATTAATTTAGATTTTATTAAAACTATAAAGCAACACAAACGAGAATATAGTATGAAACAGTTTGATACAAATTAAGTGTAATCTAGTATAACATCATTTTTTACTTAGTAGAAACAACTAATTTACACACACAAGCACATATACACGCACACACGCATATAATTAATTACGGGTGCATGTGTGTTTGTGTGTATATAAGTTAGCTAGTGTAGACACACGCATATAATTATAGGTATTCTAACAGCGATTTTTCAAAGTAATTGATGCCATTCGTTTGCTTGTATTATAAGAAAAATGCATGAAAATCTTGTCTCTTACATAAGCGTTTTCTAGGACTTCAGTACAACCATTGAAATACAAGCGAGTGTATTTTTCGCGATAACTTTAAGTGAGAAATCTAAAGTAGAAACTAAGTCATTTGTGACTTATCACTTTTTCTTTTAGCTTTTATTAAATGATCATACAATAGCCTGGCGACTTGTGTTATTCTTAGGTACGAAAAGAACATGTATTATGTTGGTCTACAATTTTTAATTTATTTAATTCGAAATACGCTCTCTATTTTAATAGTACCTTGCCCCTGTACATCATACTTTTCCTGATAACAGTAGAGTTATGCCGGTTATCTATCTAACTATTCGTTCTGGATAAAATTTTGAATTAAAATAACGTGACTTTCGGTTTGGATTAGAAGTTCGTATATAGTTAATCGGGAGGTCTCCAGCCCCTAATCTTTCTATATTTAATCTAGACTTTTGTGTATCTAACTTCATCTCGGGATTAAGGAAGGACACATAAACACAAAAGAAGAACACCAGTGGAAATTTATATTTTTGTGCTATATTGAAAGAAAAACTGTGCTTAAAATAATTTTAAATACTTTTTCAATTATTAAATAACATTTTCAGGCAGAGAAATCTCTTGTCACCCTCTTTGATAAGACTTACATCGTAAAACAACCGTACGGAGTTGTATTGGTAATGGGTGCTTGGAATTATCCTGTTACATTAAGTATTGGGCCTATGGTAGGAGCCATAACTGCCGGAAATTGCGTTATTTTGAAACCTTCAGAAGTTGCTTCGGCCACTTCGAATCTTTTTTCAGAACTTATTCCTCGTTACTTGGATCAGGTGAGGAATAATCTTAAAGATTATTATTATTGATGATTTAAGAGATTTTTATAATGTCTTTTATTGCTAGGACTGTTATCACGTTGTTACTGGAGGTGTAAATGAATGTAATGAATTATTAAAAGAAAGATTTGATTACATATTTTTCACCGGTTCCATGAATACTGGCCAAATTGTCAGAGAAGCAGCCAATAAATATTTGACACCTGTCACTTTAGAATTAGGAGGAAAAAGGTAATAAAATGTGAAATTTTTTATCTTAAAATTTTTATAATAATATTATTATAATTCCGATATTTCTTATATAGTCCGGTATATCTCGACAATTCTGTTGATTTCGAAATTAGTTGCAAACGTTTATTATGGGGTAAATGTACTAATTTAGGACAGACTTGTGTAGCTCCAGATTACTTGTTATGTACTCCTGAAATTCAAGAGAAATTCGTTAATTCAGCAAAAAAACTTTTAAAAGAATTTTATGGAGAAGATCCCAAATCTTCTCCAGATCTTGCAAGAATTGTTAACGATAAACAATTTCAGTAAGTAATTAGAAAATTGTTTTTTATTCTCATTTTCTTATTCAAATGATAAGCAATGAAATAAAATATATTAAATAATTTATTAATATTACAGGAGATTAATTAGATTGTTAAAATTATCGGGAAATAATGTAGCAATCGGTGGAAGAATTGTCGAAGAGGAAAGATTTATATATCCAACAATCCTTACTAATGTTAATGCATCCGATCCAATTATGAAGGAGGAGGTAATAATATATAATAATTTATTACCACAGAANAGTAAGATTTAATGTAAAAGTGTTATAGGATTAATAATATATCTGTGTAATCTATAAAACAGCAATCGAAAAAAAGAAACTGTATTTAGTTTAATAATAAATATCCAACGATAATGAAAATCCTAATAGAACCATTCAATGTATTTGGTATAAATATAATTAGGCATCAAATTTAAATCTGTATAAATGATTATTATATTTTAATGGTATTTTAAATCATTAAAAATACAGACACTAAATAGTTTCTTTTAGAAAGTATTTAATATCTATGTAATAGATTATTGATCTCCTGTAAGGAAAGTATAGACTAGTAAATTACCTCTGCTTCGGTAGATATTCTTAGAATAAGAACCATAGCTCCCAGTATAATAGTTATCACGCAGAAAACTCCAAAAAATGCTTCACTGTTTCTATTAGTAGCCATTAATCCTGTAGACCAAACCAGAGTTAGAAATATGATAATGATAGCCGAAGCCCAGCGAGCAGAAAGTGCATTTCTAAAACATTAATACAAATAATACTATAAATTAAGACGAATAAACAAATTGATGATGATTATTCATTAGAAACTTATATGAAACACTTGATAATTACAATAGAAGGTATCATGGCAAATTCTCATTCGATACATTCTCGCATCAAAAAGCTGTTTTAGAAAGAAATTATAATTACGTTGGAGAAAAAATGTCCGAGTAAGTAATATAATTAATATTTAATCTGTACGTTAAAAGATGGAGATTGATTCAATCAAGCTAAAGCAACTGCTTTATAACGATAAAATAAATAGAAATATTAATATATAACGCTAAGTTTTATGTTACAGAGCTCGTTATCCGCCATACTCAGATGCCAAAATCGATTATATCAGATTTATGACCAAACGTAGAGCATCAATCATCCCTCCTTATACCGGTTACATATTATCTTTTCTATTCGGAGTCATTTTGGTATTTGTAATACAATACATGATAGATCTTTTTGTATGTATATTAAAAACTTTTTTTTTTTTATATTTTTATAATATTTGAATGATTTATTAAATTTTATTTTTATATTTTTTTTAGTGAATTTTTAAGAGAGGGAAGAAGAACAAGTCTAAACATCAATTACCTATTTAAGGTGTGGGATCATCTATAAATAATTTTATTCGAGAAAACACTATATATATATANCATCTCTATCTAGACTATATATCTCTATTGTAAACATAGCTTTATTGTTTTATTAAACTCGAATATTACTGTCAATCCGTGTCAGCGTGAAGCTCTTGTATCTAATACCATTCAACCTGAAATTAAAAAAAAATTACAAATATTTATATCATTTAATTTTCTTTACATTCCTATTTTTCAAATTTATTTAAATATAATTTTAATTAAAATTATCTGTAGCTTTTAATTTGTTACATTCGTATATAACGTAAATTACTTTACTAATAAGTAAATGTACTTTATTAAATAATTTCATTACAGAAAAAGAAAAAGGAAAATATTAAATTTATATAAATATATATATATATATTTTCCTTTTAACATTAAAACATATTTAAAAGTATTGTATTTATTTAGAAAACAAAAAAAAGAATAGACAATAATTTTGTCATAAGAATAAGGAAATGTTTCATTTGTAAATTAAATAAACATTCTTTTAATGCAATATTTAATTTAAATATGAGTCATATTTATTTTTAAATAGCTTAAAAATCATTTATTATTTATCACATTTTATAATTTAATTTTTGTTCAAATGGCAATTAATTTATTAACAATTTTTCATATGTAAATTTTCTATTATTTTATTTTAAATTTTATATATAAAATATTTATATCCTTATTTCATATCCACGTAAATTCTAGGAGAAAAACATTAACAAAAATAGAATTTACAGTAGTATAATTAAAAACAATATATTGTTTATTTAGTTATACAATTGATCGTCTAGTGTCTCGTAGTATATTATGAAAAATAATTTGTTCGAGTTGTGAGGTGTGGAGAATTTCGAACAGGTGTTTTTGGCATATGATTATGAACCGAATGACTTTCGCTATCGAATGAGGTTGATATCCAAAGGGGTTGTTGAGTCACTAATACTGGAGAAGAAGTAAATGCTGAAGTAATTCGCTTTCGAACCTATATAATAATATTACACAATAATAAAAAAAAACAGCTGTAAAATATACACTAAATACTTTTTTCTTAAACATTATATAAATATAATTAAAATTAAACTTTGAATGAACAAACAAGGATAAATATTACCTATAAATAACTTTTATATATGTTTTTTAATAGTATTGATTATAGAAAGTTATCTAGAGATATCATCTGTATATTTATGGTTAATCGATATATGTATAAACACATATTTATTGGTTATTTGTTACTATATAAAATTGAATCAATAATATTTATATAGGATTTAACTTAAAATTAATAACAAGCAATTTAGTAAGATTTAATGTAAAAGTGTTATAGGATTAATAATATATCTGTGTAATCTATAAAACAGCAATCGAAAAAAAGAAACTGTATTTAGTTTAATAATAAATATCCAACGATAATGAAAATCCTAATAGAACCATTCAATGTATTTGGTATAAATATAATTAGGCATCAAATTTAAATCTGTATAAATGATTATTATATTTTAATGGTATTTTAAATCATTAAAAATACAGACACTAAATAGTTTCTTTTAGAAAGTATTTAATATCTATGTAATAGATTATTGATCTCCTGTAAGGAAAGTATAGACTAGTAAATTACCTCTGCTTCGGTAGATATTCTTAGAATAAGAACCATAGCTCCCAGTATAATAGTTATCACGCAGAAAACTCCAAAAAATGCTTCACTGTTTCTATTAGTAGCCATTAATCCTGTAGACCAAACCAGAGTTAGAAATATGATAATGATAGCCGAAGCCCAGCGAGCAGAAAGTGCATTTCTAAAACATTAATACAAATAATACTATAAATTAAGACGAATAAACAAATTGATGATGATTATTCATTAGAAACTTATATGAAACACTTGATAATTACAATAGACTCCCCTATAACACTGGAGATAATTCCGTGTTATATGAATTCCGTGTTGTACGAGTCACTTAGATTTTACAAATACGTGTGCCGGACTGTGAACGGCTTACGTATTTGTAAAATCTAAGTGACTCGTACAACATGGAATTCATATAACACGGAATTATCTCCAGTGTTATAGGGGGTCTACTGTATATAAACCTGACTTCTCGACAATAAGTATCAATAAGAATATAATTAAATAAATAAAATACCTCGCTCTTTTTACATCTTGTCGTCTGACGTTTGAAGGAATATCTTTTACGACTAATACCATTAATAACAATAAGATATGAACTCCTACACATATTCCTATGGGGATGATTGTTACCCATTTAATACCGTTATCAACGTTCATCCAACAACTGGAAGAGATTTTTGAATGTCACAATAATAATAAAAAAATTAAAATAATATCTTAAAATATAATTTATACAATAATACAATATAATAAATTATTATATAAATAAATTTACTTATCACTAGAAGTAATATAATTATCATGGGCCACAATTACTGTTAGTATTGTAATAGCCGCTGGTAAACCTAGAAAATTTATAAAATTATATTTAAAATAATAATTTATTAAAGTAAGAATTATAATTACTAAACTCACCCCATCCTATAGTTAACAGTGGACACCTATTAATGAATATATATGGAAACCAGGACAATAACAATCTCGATATAACGATAATCTCTAATAAATGACATGTAAAAACAACTAAGAAGAAGAATTGTAAGAAAATGGATATTGCTAGACATAATGACTGTAAAAAAAAAGAAATATTTGTAAATAGATATGTGTAAAATTATAATAAACGTATAAATAAAATGAATACATACATAAGAAATATAATAAGATTCACATGTTGTTATTAAAATACACGTATAAGCTCCTAAAAGAGCAAATTCAGAAGAGACGTGAGCTAAGCATTCGTTGAAAAACATCCTATAATTTATATATATTATTATATAAAACGTAGATTTTATAAAGAATTATATAATTTTGTATTCTAATAAAGAGCTTAACAATACTTAGTAGTTATGTAAATGATGACAGTTATCCCAACTAAAAGAATTAATGTGCAGCATGCGATTACACGAAATACTAACATAGGATATTCTTTTTCAGACTTCACAATCTAAAAATAATATATTTAATATATATATAATTTAAGAAAATAATTAAATTAAATGGCATTTATTATTTACATCATTGTATTCTTCTTCGTCTGGAACTTGTCTGACATGTCTAACTACACTTCTTTGTGATTCAATACGACTTACTCGTACTTCTGGGATTAAAAAAAAAAAAAAAGACAGAAAGTAAATAAAATAATGATATTTAATTAAAGAAAATAAATAATTTATTATATTACTTGGCAATTTGCAGGCAAAATTTTTCTTATCTGTACAATTAAAAATAGAAAATTGTCCTAAATATCTACGATTTTCAATTTTATAAGAACAACAAAGTGCTGCTGCTGGTATAACAATACTTTCGTTTTTCCAACATTTCGGATTAATTTTGGCATCTGTAAAAATAATTGACATTGATTTATTATTGTAATCAGAAGGGTAATAATTAACTATTAATGTAATTATACTATTTTCAATATAGTTAAATACTAATTACAATTGTTGTTTAAATATGTTAATTAAAACTTTTAACTAATCTAACTACTTTTCTGTTGATTCATTATAATGTTTGCCTTGTGTAATCAATTGTATTAAACAGAACGAATATGATTCGATTTTTATGAAGATTAATTCAACTATTGTCAAAGTCAACAAGTTTAATTTAACTTTTTCACTTGTTTTTGATCAATTAAATGCAGAAAATTCGAGGATTTCTTCTTTTTTTCCCCCCTGTATGTATGGATGTTAGTGTGTGTTTAGGGGGGGAAGCATGATTTTGTTCATATTTGAAGCTTAATAACTCCTGTGCTTTTTGTGGAAAATTTCTGAAATTTTGCAGGGAGGTTTGTGTATTAAGGGATTGATGCTATTAAATTTTGGTGGTTAAAGGTCGAGGGAGTAGGGAGATAAATGAAATCGTGTATATCTTCAGTAGGGTCGGATTTTACTGGTTATTAGCATTTACAACTTTTTTTTTTTTATAAAACTCATCCCTACCCTAAAAATTAAACCTTTTGCCATTTTATGATAATTAAAAATGTAAAAAGTTTTTAATAATAAAATATTGTAACAGATGGAACCACATGCAGTTTTATATGTTGACGGGAAAGTTAAGCAACTCGTTGCTGGATTTTTTAGAATATAAAAAGTGTTAAATAATAAGAATGAAATGAAAACATAACTGTTATTTTAATCTAGTCAAATTTTTTGTTTCTATAGACACTGTCGCCAACCTTTCTGACTTCAAGGGCCATTAAACTCACGATTTGGATCCCACAGACCATTAGAGGCGGATCTATCAATAGATAGGGCTTAAGCCCTGGGCATCCAAGTGTCATGGACCCACAAAAATTAAATTATTATCATAAATTTTTAATACTTTTTCATTAACAATGAGCCCTTATCTTATAGTAAAAAACAGTTAATAGGTTAGGTTTGTTAAAAATGGGGCCCTAAGCCCCAAATAACCTAGATCCGCCCCTGACTATCATGAATTGATCAATGTCCAAATTTCTCCACGTATTACAATCAAAGCATTCACATGTACAAACGAAAACATTATTAAAGTGTATTTGTCAGTTCCATTTCGAGTCCCCTCTTTACCTGTACACCCATTGTTTACCTAATTACGGCATTGTATGTAATTAAAACAACTGTTTATATAGTTAGTGACTATCATTATAAATTCTAATTAATATATCATAATGGTATAAAATCATTATATATCATTTACCGAATTTAGATAGATCTAAATGTACCCAAACGTTAGTTATCGAAGATGATGAGAGAAAAGCCGTGAAGAATTCTAGATCTTCGTTATCAATAAGATCAGATAATATTCCTCCCTTTCTTGTACAAAATTTAACGGCTTCGTTCCACGTTCTTTTCTTTAATGGTATCCAATAGCAATTTAGTTTATACGGAGTCTCCTTAATGTCGCACACTAAAACGAAAACCAATTTAATTATCTTAAAAATATAATCATATTTAATTTTTATTAACAACAACAACAACAAAAAAACTTATTATTTTTTTTTCAAGAAATTAATGGCAAAAAAATAATACTAAAGTAAATTTTATTCTAACATTATAACTGCATTACATTTTTAACTGTTTATATAGTAGCTTTAAATGTTTTCTTTTACTACATTAAATTTAATGATAATAATAAAAGATTTATTATAAATTATGAAGGTAATTTTACTTATTTGTCTACAGATAAAGTCTAGATTATAGAATAAAGTATTGCATCAATACAAAAGGACAGATAAAGCCTACCAGGGTATGAACTGAATTTTAAACAAGTTAGACTCTGTTCAGACAGTTATATATACTGTATTAATATAAAATACAACTCTCGCTTATTTTCTGATAGGCGATATATGACTCGTATCGTGACAAGGTTCGGTCACTCCTGGTATATAACATCTTTAAGTACAGTACATAAATTATAATGAGGTGAGAGCATGCTGCCAGATTTGGCAGTATTTCAAGCCATTTGTAGGTTTGATAACGATTTTACTATTATACAATGATATTGTACTTGTAATAGTATAGATAGATAGATAAATAATGAAATCACAATATCATTTTTTATCTAATCACTTTGTAAAATGTCAAATATAAAGTTATAGTAATCAATTTCGTTCCTTAATAGTCATTTTATCAAAGTAATGTCATTACGTAAACATTTAAATAGAACATTTTTAGTTTGTTTACTACAAAATGTAACAACAAATATATATAAATATATATATTTACCATGTATATTAATTAATAATAAGATGAATGAGGTAAAACCTAGTTACCTAAGCGTTTGACAATCAATATCAAAATGAGTTGAAACCGTCACGTATTTTGAAGGACATTTCTTGGTATTGCTTTAGTTTTCATTCTGATTTTCATGATAAACCTGGTTAGAATTTGGATAAGATGGCCAAGTTTAAAATTATAGCAGGAAAAAAAAAAAAAAAACTAATCACGCGAAATGTATAGAAACTGAAGCAACTTTTAATCATTTAAGCTCATTTTATATTCGAAAAACTGCTTAAATATAGGAATTTAATCCAGTTATATCAAATTACATTACCGGTAGCAAAGGCCAGTATCATGGTAACATAGACTTACTTCTTACATTTTAATTATATTATTTCAATTGGTTTAACTTAACAAGTCCAGTTATTGACGAGTCGTATATTCCATACACTCAAATATAACCAGGCCAAGTTTGCCCGAAAATATGTGCCAAGACAATACGAATACACCAAACCAACTTAATGTTCAATTCTCATAAATATTTTCAGAATTTATGTTATATTAAAAGTAAACAACAGTCTGTTTCCAGGTTGTAAATATACCACTTAACATAAAGACTAGTGAATAAGTAGCCAAGTCAGTATGATTTGTTAATGTAACTTCGCCATAATATGATCATTCTAATTGCTTTTCTTCACTCCGAAAGGGAATAAAAACACATTTACTGTAATTTGAGGACAATCATTCAAGAAGGAGAGTAACCTTACCACAATTACGAACCCTCACTACACACGATTAAAGACAGAACCATCTCTATCTAGACTATATATCTCTATTGTAAACATAGCTTTATTGTTTTATTAAACTCGAATATTACTGTCAATCCGTGTCAGCGTGAAGCTCTTGTATCTAATACCACTATCCTAATGCGATTCTTTACATAACAAACCTATTATAGAAGTAACTAACGTGGCCTAACTAGAGAACCTATAATGAGAAATGGACCATATAAAAAACGCTGTATAAATTATATATTTAATATATAATGTATAATTGTTCGGTGGGGAAAAAAACTAAAGATGATGGAACTAGAAAATTGAAGCATTAATGATTTTCCTTCCATATTTTCTTACGCACCACAAAAATCCTTATATCTTGATAAAAAATCCGCCTGTTCCTTTGTTATTTGATTACTTAAATATGTATTAATGTAAAACTTATATAAAAATTTCAATATTAAATATTTAATGAAACTTCTATATATTTTTTCCAGTCGGAAAATTTTAATCGTATAGACATACATACGTTTAAATAATTTAAAATCTAACCATAGCGACTGGTTAGATTGTATCTGTAAGCATGCAAAAGTGTAACCCTTTATGGATATGTCATCATTATAGAATAATTTCTCATGTTTTTTTTAAATAAATTCTGACAATGGTTAAAAAATTTAAAGAATAAATCACCGTACGAGATTCTTTAAATAAGTTTTAATAAATCCCAATTAATTAGAGTCTTAAGAAAGTGATTATTGTTAGTAGTTTATCAATATTAACACAGCTGTAATACAATGATCGTTATTTGCATTAAGTTTTATTGTAATTAAAGTAATTCCCAATTTGAAATGCTTTAATTACATTCAGAATTGAATTGTTCATCATAAAATATGCAAACATTAAATTTTTGTTTTTTTTTTTGTAAGGAAATTACTTAAGAAAAATGATTTTATACCTTTTTTTTTTCTTATTATTCAAATTAACTGGTTTAATTTAAGTATTACAAGAAAAGGAGATTAAATATGTATAGTTAACAACAATTTTAAAAATAAATTATTAGTTAATTAATCATAGATAAGTAAATTAATAAAATTTATGCATATATTTTGAAAAAAAAATTTTTTTTTTTCTTTTTAACTTGTTACTCACTTTCTTCTTTAACTGGATTCTCTTCGGTGCCATAAATTATATTCCAAAAAACGTATAATAAAATGATTCCATGCAAATTAGAAATAGATTTAATCATGGTTTACGTACGGTCTTTGTGTTTCGTTTGCAATTCTGCCATGGTTCGTAACCATTGACAGAATTTATATTAAACAACATCTACCTTTTCGGTTCTTGTTTGCTGTTTTGTAACTATGGTAACAAAAATCGAGTTATATAGGAAAAAAAAAACTTCACCAAGTTTGATAATAAAAATATAAACGTACTGTTTCTTATTTATCCTAACACATTACGACTTGTGTTTCTATCGAAACATAACTTGTAATGTATTTTCATAGAATCCTATAATTTTTTTTTAATATACTTGTATCATAATATATTATACTTGATTATACATAACTAATTCATTTTTCTTTAATAATTTTTGATTTAGATACAGTTTAAATTCTCATCAGGAAGGATATTAACGTGCTAAATACAGTATTCTAGAGTTGCATTTCAAGAATTTCCTTGACTTTTTTTTTGTAATTTAAATCAAATATATTATTTTACAAAAAAGTATATAATATTAATAATATTGTATTCATTATGTAAATACCATATTTAGTTTAATAATTTTTATATTACATAGTTAAAACTGTACAATAAGTCATCGATTTAACGAACGTCAGTGTATAATTTACACTCATCGACTTAACTCTAACGTTAATTTATAAATAAATAACTGAATGTAAATATTTAATATTATATCTAATTATGCTTCGTTTATAAGCTATAAAGTTTATGTAAATCACGTATATCGGAAAATATATTATATAATAAAATTTAAAATATATATATATATTTTTTCGTACAAGCTCTTGTAACATTGCATTAATCCCAATGTTTTTATTACCGTAATTCGTCTAGACCTACATCAACATTCTTCCTAGTTTCATTGATCTTCGTAATTCGTGATAGTGTCACGTATGACCTATATGCATCAGTCACGTTTCCACCCATTAGCGTGTCATTTCGTACCATTTTTTTTTGAAAATTTTGTAAGATGAACTACATCTGACATTCCTTAATAATAATAATAATAATGCGAATTTACGCATAAAATATTAAAGGTAACACAAGATATTTTTATACATACTTTTATTAAGAAAAAATGTGAATTTACATGTAAAAAAAATTAAAATTTACATTGACAACAAAGCAATACGGCCATATAAAACTGTGATACACTTCTTTTTTTTTTTCCTTTTTAAAAAGCAATTAATGTCTTTCAGAAGAAATAAAAAAATCCTTCACAATATAATACATATTATGCCTACATATTTACAGTCCGTTTTCCCCCTTATACAAATATCATTCGGTAAAAAATATATTCAATAGTTAAAATGTACACATCTTTATATATAGGCTATATATATATATTTATATACAAACGTTTAAAAAAGAAAAAAATAATAATAAAATAAATCTATATAAAGAATGAAAGGACGGATAATTAAAGGCATTTTTAAGTGAATTATTATTATAAATTTCGAGATATTAGAGATATTGCGGCCGAAGTTTTCATCTGTAAAACGTGAACGTCGAACGTCGAGCGCCGCTTAAGTAAGCGGCGCTCGACGTTCGACGTTCACGTTTGAGAGGTGAAAACTTCGGCCGCAATATCTCTATTGATTTATATTCTAGGCATTTATTTTTTCCATTTGAAGATTATTTCATAAAATGCAGAATAAAGTAATTCCTTCCGTGTCTGGCAGGTTGCTTGCATAAAAGCGTTTTTATGTTCACAATATATAAAACCGTCGGTGGTAAATGTCGAATTTGAAAGGTCCATTCATCACATTTTTTTTTTTTTTTTTTTTNTTATATGATATCAAAGCGCATCCAACTTCATAAAGCCATCTGTACTGATTCTATAGGAAAAAAAAAAGAAAATTTATGAATGACTTGTCGAGTTCAATAAACATCTGAAACTAATCAGAAATGTATTACATTTCTTACTTATAGAAATTTAAAACCGAACGTCAAGAGTATTCGATTTATTATAAGGAACAAGTTCAAATATTATTAATACAGTCGACCCCCTATAACACTGTCGATTATTCCGTTTTATATGAATTCCACGTTGTACGAATCACTTAGATTTTACAAATACGTGTTCCGGGCTGTGAACGGCTCATGTATTTGCAAAATCTAAGTAACTCGTACAACATGGAATTCATATAAAACGGAATAATCAACAGTGTTATAGGGGGGTCGACTGATTATCTCTTATTGAATCGATTGCTTACACTGGTTCCTAATGTTTATTAATTTTCTATCTTCAATTCGTTAAAATAAATGAAATATTTTTAATAATCTTAAATAACAAATTCTAATCAACTTTAATGGTAATATCTTAATATAATTTAGAGATTAAACGAATTTTTATCAAAATATTTAATTGATTTTTCCTAAACATTATCGTTGAATTATTTGCTTATTGTTTAATAGCGGTAACAAACTTTAATGACATATACTTTATGTACTGTATATTAAATATACTTTTCTAGATAAAAAAATCAATGTTTAGCAGGATAAATTATTAAATAATTAAAAGGTTTTGAACAGTTTATCTATAAATTCCTCCAAATATGCAAATAAAATTAAATTTTATGTAACTTTGCATGCAAAACAAACATTAAATTTAATTAAATCTTTCTGTTTTCGTACCTGTACAAATAGCTAAATTATTTAAATATGGATAAAAATTTAAGAAAATACCTAAAATATTTTAAAATCTTATCATTTCAACGTGCAATTAATGTACTTAAAATAGTCTAACAGAATATATGCAAATGGTTAAATTAAAATGATCAATTTACATATAAAATTTTAAAATAATTTATTTTAATATTATAATATGGTAAAGATAATCTTTTAATATAAGTTATAAGCAATTAAAAATCAATGATAATGTTTGTATTTACTGATATAAACAAACATTGTTGTTATACTAATGTTAACTTTTTATATATTAAAGTAAAAATATCAATTAGTAAATCAATGGTATCTAGAACAACAAAAATAAAAAAAGAAATCACGCATACAAGGAAGAGATAGCATATAAATTTATTTGTAATTGTAACTGAACAAATCAATAATGCTTATGAAATGTCAAAAGCATTAATGATTTAAAAACATTAACATATAATTTGATTTACTTTAATTTATTTGCTAGCTTTTTCATGTACCCTGTACAAGATTTAATTCTTGGTTCCTCCTCTTAAAATTGTAAATGCCAATAACCAGTAAAATCGTCAATAAGTCCGACCCTATTGGAGATACACACGACACCCATTATCTCTCCATCCCCTCGATCTTTAATCACCAAATTTTAATATCATCAAACTACATAATAAACAAACCTTCATTCAAAATTTCAGAAATTTTCTGTAAAAAACACAGGAGTTATTAAGCTTCAAAGAGGGTGCCTATGAATCCTTAGTTATGGCACAAGTTCATAATTGTAATTAAAGACAATCAATCACTATTATAATGAAGTAAAAAAAGGTATAATTCTATATCTTATTACAAATAAAAGAATAGAAATAACTTATTTTCCGCTAGATAAATCAGAATAAATTCGAAATTAGTCCCGCAGATTATATTCAGTTAACAAGAGCAGTGATTTCAGTTCGTAGACAGTCTAACACATGATAGAAATCTCCGAAATGCTGAAATCGATAATGAAATTCGAGCTATCTCAGCGTTAAGCGCAAGTTAACAACAAGACACCAGCAATAAATTCATTAATATTTATGACGAATTTAGTAGTTTGTGTGTTTACCTCGTTATTTATCATTTGAATAAATAATATATTTCTTTTATTCTACTCCATCACACAAATAGAATACACTTCGAATAAATTGTATATTATGTATGAGATTTTCCAGTTAGTGATAATATCTTCACATTTATAATGGAAATAAGAATTGTTTTCATATGCCTCAACAATCCATTTATATACAGCAAAATAGAAAATACAAATTCTGTCACTTTGATTATTGGTCTTAATGTAATATTTATATTACAAACCATATTTAACATATAATTTCTTCTTTCCTTTCCATCTATTAATTTAGGGCAATTGTAAATAAACAATTAAATCAGAAAAGACTATAATGTGTGTGTGTGTGTGCCTGCTTGCATGCGGAGCGTGACTCTATATGGGTGTGTAGCAACATATGTGTTGTTAGAAATAATATACTATAATTTTGTGTTTAAAATTTTGACTTAATAACTTAAAAAAATCAAATATAAACTCACTAAAACTGGTACAAAAGTCGGACGATTAATTCTAACAGTTCTAACAGCTTCGAAAACGTCCATAGATCCTTGACTTCTAAATTGATCCCTCATATAAGCCGAGGCACAGAAAAATCCTGACATGCTAGAACCATTGCTGAAAAAAATATGTATATATTAATCTATATAATCTGTATTAAATATGTAATATGGCAATGGAATAAAGTAATTAAAATTTCAGAATAGAAATAAAAGTTTACTTACTAACACATAACAATGACTGGTTTGTGTTTTGATTTATTTTGCCATCTTCCAATCTTGTTCAACATATAAACTACATTATTTACTGCAGGATGTGTCATTTCGTTAATTTTGCAATCTTTAAGTTGAAATTGACGAATCTTTCTTGTTTTGTGTCCCTAAAATAAAAATATGAAAATTTATAAATGTTTAAAATATTAATTAAATTAAACTTTCGTATAAATCAGGATTAAAAACATGCCTAAATATTAGTCTAAAACCGATTATTTAGGCGATCGTTGGATGTTTCTATATACTTATCGAGCTTTGTTATGTTTGTTATATTTAAAACAGGCTTAATTATACAATGCCAAATTAAATGAAAGCCTGAATAATTGTACAGTCGACCCCCTCCCCCTATAACACTGTTGATTACTCCGTTTTATATGAATTCCATGTTGTACGAGTCACTTAGATTTTACAAATACGTGTGCCGGGCTGTGAACGGCTCACGTATTTGTAAAATCTAAGTGACTCGTACGACATGGAATTCATATAAAACGGAATTATCATATAGGGGGGTCAACTGTATAAGCCTAATTAAGGATTACAATGATTATGGAAACACTGATTAAGGAAACACTGATTAGGGAAACAATGACAAAGGTTACAATGATTAAGGAAAACTAACAAGTTAAATGTCGTGCTATTAATTACGCTTCTAAATTAACAAAATATAAAAATAATAATAATAATAAATAGAAAAAATATAGAAATAAAAATAACCTGATCCATATTTCGTAATTTTAAATGTCGAATTATTCCAGCACGGTTGGATTTACTCATTATGTGATCAATCCTATAATTACCTCGATATACCGTTCCCGATTCTGGCCAAGGTACAGGAGCCGTCTTAAAGAAAATAAAAAAAATAAGATTATTTTATCATCTTTATTAGATAATTAAACAACTATCAACGATCACTTGCCTCTTCTTTCGAATTAAAATCGTTTAAGACCACCATAACTGTAGAGCCGACATCATAAACAAGCTGCCAGAAATCGTTAAGAGTTTCTGGTAAAGGATATTGTGTAACAATATACGATTCAGTACGACCGTACCCCTAAATAAAAAATAATAATAATAATAAATTATTAATTTATTACCCGAATAAATCCATTACTAAATCAAAATATAACCTAAATACTTACATTACAGTAAACTGCATTCACATACATTATAGAATTTCCAGCTTTTAATATTACTCTTCCACCTTCGGCTAGAATACATGAATTATTATTATTATTATTATTATATTTTAATGGGAGAAAAATAAGTTATTTTTCTATCTTACAAGGTAAAATATCTAAGGAACGATTTTTTGATTTATTATCCCCTTTCAATGCAGTTAAACATTTGTCTTCTGTAAAGGGAGTAGTCAGCTTTTCTAGTTCCTAAAACGTGTAGACAGTGTTTTATATTTTGTTATATAAAAAAAAAAAAAGGAAATTATAGGGAAAAATATATATAAAAATACCTCAAATTGAAGTTGTAGACCGTTTTTCTTTTTCTCATTGTCTATCATTCTTAATTTATTATAATAAAGAACGAAGTTCTCAGAAGAATTCAATGTGATATCACCGAAATGATAATCGATAAGCGCTGTATATACGAACGTATATTGATCCTAAGTATATAATAAAACTATTATCATTTTCTTTTATAAAAAAATTCAAATTAAATAATAATAATAATAATTAATCGCTTACAAGAGTTTCTACTAAATTAATTCTTTGTTGCCTCATTTTATATAAAAGACTAAAAACATCTACGGTCCCTTCTGCCTTCAACATATCTAATGCTGCATCTAATAACATAACAGTTCCGGATCTTCCGACACCGGCACTGTAAAATTTATAATGTTGTTTCTTAATACTAGATGGCGGCACAGTACAGTATTTTTTTTTT